ATGGCAACGAAAGCGCGGCTGTCTCGCGCGCAGATGGAAATGGCAAATCGCATAAAAAATTCACCACTCCAGGCCGAGGGTTAAGGTCGTGCGAGACGCGCGAATATTGTACGAGAGAGTTAACTTTGGAGTAAGGCGCCATTGGAGCCGATGTTTCTTATTCGTGCGGCGTATTCGTTTCAGTTTGCGCAGCCAGCGATATATTTATTAGGCATGAATTTAAAAGGAACTGCCAGAGAGCGAGTAATATCAATGATCTATAATCTATACGTCTACGACAGCCTACGTGAAACATGCGCGATGCGAAAATTTAGTGAGGTTCTCGTTACGATGTCGTTACAATTCGTCATTTTGATTTTATCTACTTTATGATTATCAGAAAACTTCGAGAAATTTTTCAGTCAAGAAACCTTTCTTTCCCCTAAATTATTAAGACCAAGAATAGGGACTATTATCGAAAATAGCTTCTTAGATTTTTGTTCTTTAGAGTTATTAATTGAATAATATCTCTCTTTTAGAAGAGTGTACTTTTTAACCCTTAAATGTATGATTTCCTAATAAATTTTGCAAAAATGATAATTTTAAATTGACTACTGTCGAGAGATAGCTTTAAGTTTCTCTGGAAATTGCTAAAAAAAAAAGAGAAAAGTCTAAAGGCATTGAAAGAGTAATGCAAGAAAGTAAATATTGTAAGATTCTTAAAACCTCTTTTTTGCAATCAAAGATTAATATAGGGATCAACATAGCAGTTTCATAAAAATACGGTCAGTTTACTTCGGAGCATCTTACCGCTTTCGAATCCCGCGAACTTCATCTTCTGAAAATTACCTCTTTGAAGTAACCGCGGAAGAAGTAACCGCAGATAAGTAAGTAGTACGGATGCGTAATGATGCGCTTGATTTAAGATCGACCCTCTTTAAATACCACTTAAATTGCCGTGCGCGCGGCGTCGTACAGGAATCTCTATTAATGCGTCGCGCCGCGCCTCTTCTCTCCGTTTTCACAGACCATTGCGGATGAAGTGCACGCGGCGCATTTGAGACACACCACCTAGTCTGGTATTTCAGTGCCAGGCCATGTAATTTTCCGAGTATAGAACGCGACGGCGCGATCCGCGTTCGCGTGAAATTGGAAAAGGGCTTCGTCCCGTCTCGGAGTCTCTCCATTTGGCGAAGCGTTATAGCGACGACCAGACGATATAGAACCCAGGTAACCGTCTGGTAGACCTTGAACGGCCCTTTAACTGGCTGCATTGCAGTCAAGGTTATCATTCTCGTCTCTCCGTGACGTGGAACGGTGCCTCCCGAAGGGATCGAATGAATAGAAACGCGGATTCGCTAGTTTGCCAAGGTCGCCCTTGCCCGGCAGCGAGAAATGCATACCGGTGCATCGCGCGCAAGTACATATTTCTTCTTTAATAACATCGCAACTAAGCTACTGGATAAAAATCGATAAATGACGATAAGTGATAAGATACGTGTGATATAAAATTATATATTTATTAATTAATTTGTTTAGAATAATATTGTAAGATATGATCGCGTATCGATGATTTCAATGATCTGTATTTCGATAATCGAAATACAGATTTACCGATCGTTATCATTACTAAAAATCAGTGATTATTGTACAGTCTATTATAAAAATACAGGAGATAAATTCGCGCGTTTAGCAATAAATCGTTGACGGGATAAGACAAAACCATAATATGTAGTTTGATAAATTATTAAACGGCAAACGAGAATCAATGACTGCAACGGATCTGTTGAAGCGAAGATGCGGCGGCATTAGCTATGCAAAATTGCGCCCGCTTTCCGTGACTAAATAATAGTCCGAGGACAGCGAGAAGACTACAACTCCGCCGCCTCCGCTCGCGCGATCGTGACCATCGGTCGTAGGTAGCATTCCTTATCATTACGCGTTCCATAAACATTATCCACGGTTCCATCGAGAATGATTCCGCGACGCGGCTGAGAGAAGCGAAGAAGAGGTGGCACGTCCCGACCCAGAAGGAAAGCCACCTCGGGGGGAAAGAGAGACGAGAGAAGGAGAGAGAAATGAAGTGACGGTGGAGGTGAGAGGCGGCGGGAGAGGACGATCGAAGGAGAAGAGAGAGATAGAAAGGGAGATTGCACCGGAGTAAAACGACACGGGATAGACCGAGACGGAGAGAAAATGAGAGATATGAGGGGGAGAACGAAACGCCGTTTGGGAACGTACCATGAAAAATCAAGATGCGATTTAAATTTTGTTTGAATATGCATTTCGTCGGTTTGTCTTGATACTCTGCCCGCACGAGTATTATATACATTTACATATTCACGTGTTTATTTCGCCCCGTAGTGCGTTTCAGAAGTACCGGTCTGTTGAAAACTTGTTAATTATAACTACTATTTGAAACTCGAAGTACGAGTATATGTTTATACTCAGAAATTAAACATTTGACGTTTAACGTGAATTTGCACCAATGTGATTAAATGCTGAGCAATATGTGACAAAGGTTTGTCCGAGAAAGCTATTCTTCATTTAATTTCTGATACATTTATTTACTCATATAAAAAATGATAGTTACTTCGTGCATCTTATAAATCTAAATTGTTCGCGTAATTTTCCAGTTCGCGGATCATACGTTTCTTCGTGGTGCACACAACGCATCATATATGCACCATGTAACACAAGCACGGCGAGTGCGTTTCGCCGCGATAATTCCGCGGAGAGCCGATATATCCCAAAGAGGGATGTATTCAGAGCATCCATTTATTTATCTTCCTATTCTCCCTGACGCGCGCTACTAATTAGTCGTGATTGCGATAAAGTATCAATACATCAAAAGCATACCTACTACGCGCGCATAGGTTTGCAAATCCCTTTCAGCCCGGGATGCTATATAATCTGTGCTTGTGGATTTCGTATTGTTGCCGCATAGTTGCCCCCAATAGCCAACTACGTTGACTAGCACGCTCGCGGATAAATCTAATTTGCCGCTCGTGATGTTCCTACCTGCGTAACGTGGCAAACGCGTAGCTTTGCTGGACGAAAAGGAAGGGTTCGTTCGCGCGCCAGCTATACCTGGGCCCGAGAGAGGGCTAAATTACGAGCTTGTCGGCCGCTGTTAGCTCGCCGGCCAGCCCGGCTACCACCCCGAGCTGGTATTAAACCGAACGGTACGTCCGATGCGTATGTACGATCGCGGCATGCTTCCGAGTGGACCGATCGAATGGCGATTCTGCGGTAGACAACGCAACGCCTGGGGCTCCTCGACGGGGTCCGTTGGACACACGGAGATTGTACACAGGGGTTGCGTGTCTCTGTACGCGGGGGCTGGTTTAACATGGGGATGGGTAATGGCGACTCCTATCAGCCCTATACACTCTGTCCCGCTCGCCGGCCCCCTCTCGGCGATATCTCTCCGCTCTCTCCCTTTCGTCCTCTGCCTCCCCCGTTACCTATCGTATCGTTGAATTTGAATCTCTCATTATCCTCGGGAGTCTATCTCGTCATTTACAGTTAGAACATCATAAACTCGCGATATATCCTTTATTTTCGCTTCATCTTTATCAAGCTAATGTAATATTTATTCTTCCTGTAATGATTTCAAATGGAATTATTTAAATTTATCACATAATAAATATATTTGTAGCTGCGGGAAGACGTATGCATTATCATTAAATATAATCACAAAGTTTAAGAATTGAAAAAACGAGATTTATAATTAAATAATAAAAAGTATGTATGTATAAAAGTATTGCTCAAACATTGAAATGCACGCGAAAATGTTGCAAAATGTACTCAATACTCAAATATAAAATTTTAGAAGTGATGATACAACGCGCGAAACAAGAAAGAAAACTGCACTGAGCAGAAGGTTAATATTTTATCTGAACAACAGTATATAGAATACGGAAATATAATCGCACTTAGTTGTAATAAAAAATGAGAGGTCCTAAACGAAATTGCTGAAATATAATAGATTAATTATATTTAATTTAACGTGCTATATTTCTTCCTATTCTAACATTATCTATAAATTTTCCTTCATTAATTTTTTTTTACGTTTATTCCTCCTTTTCGGATAAATATTTTTCTCTCCTCCCCCACATCTGTCGTTCCTTATCTCTCTTTTCGTTGTCGATGGCTCCCGATCTTCCACCACATGGCGTTAAGGGAAGAAGGGGTAGAGTGAAGGAAGGAACAACGATATCCCGATAATTTACATCAATAGTGGTTGAACTGAACGGCCACCAACCACTTTGCATATTGGATACTCGCACGACTCGCAGTTTAACGCCGTCTTCGATGAATATCCTGCAGCCGGCCGCTGCAGTCGCCGGAAATAGCCTCCGTTCCGGAATTTCATTATCCCCGGATCGCCCTTGTCGTTGATGCCCGATATCTCGTCCGGCTCCGGGATGGAATTCAAAAATTCTGCCAATTCCAGGACATTTTTATCTATCCTACTTGGTAATTTCATTGGCTTCCGGAAGAATTGTCGCGCTCGTGGCCTCGCCTGATCCCTCGACGTCGGGAGTATCGTTTCAAACCGCTATCGATGGCGTCGCAATTTTGCATATATATAGCGGTGTGATTTTTTATGAGCCGATATTATCGCTGCTCCTCCTATTTCTTGTAACTTATTATCATAATCATAGACGTTTTATCTTAGTGAAAAGAGAAAGGAAGCACTGGCGAACTAATCAAAATTGGCATCATAAAGAAAAAAAAACTCTTGACGACAGAAATTTTTCAGTAAAATTTATCGGAAATGAAACTATGATATTGTGCAAAGTGTGATATTGCAAAAAAAAAAGTTGCAGAAAAGAATTCGAGAGTTGCGGTAATACTGGAATTTCCATGAGTGCGTATAGAGATATAATGTAAATTGACGTGGAATCCAATCTCAATTAACCCGAGATAATAACCGATAACCGATAACGGATAAAGCTACGATAAAGGCTTTGCTCGGCTGCGTGGATCCGATAACGAATTTTTATCCCGCGATTGCTAGCGACAGTCAGACAGTCGTTCTGTGGTAGTGACTAAATGACGAACCTTCGTGAATCGTGGAGAACAATGCGGTCTACGTTACATTTATTAGTGCTTCTGACGATTCTATATCTCGTCCATGGTAAGTGTAAAAAAGAGAAAAGGTTTCGTATATCTCGGACTCTAAACTAAACTGATTTCGTGAATCGCAAAGCGGGGCAACACGTGCTCGCTTCTGATTATTATTCTTGTTTGTTTTTGAAACCGGGGAGATATTCAGGCCGTGGGCAACGAGCAATTTTGCACGGTGCATTAGTATGCATTATCGAATCAAAATATGCGCAGCATGCATTCGCAACAAGATCGGGGGTTGATAGAATATTAATCGCGCTCGGATAAAATTGCGACGGTTAATTAGTTTTTCATTAAGCTCGCCGATAATTATCGCGCGGGCCGTGCACGTTCTGGAAAATAATTTTTACGCCCGTAACGAATATCTAATTCATGCGTCGCAATAACCCGGGATTATAAGCCTCGTCCTTCTCAATAAATCCATTTTTGTCGTGCAATTTAGATTTTATCTTGCGACAACACACGATGTGTGCACCGTCAACGATAATGACAATTATAATTTGTGCGTTAAGGCTCGCCAACCGATCTTCTTCCTGACGATATTCCTCCTGACATGACGCCAACGACTTTCGATTTGACTGGTCGCATAGTTAATGGCACAAAGGCCGTTTTGAAGCAATTCCCTTATCAGGTAATATTTTTTGACAATTTCAATTTAATGCATGTCTGAAAGGAATGCTATTTTTAGGTGTCTTTAATGCGCAGCTACTCCAAAACGCACTTTTGCGGCGGAAGTTTGATTAGCTCTTCTCTAGTCCTAACTGCAGGTCACTGCATGTATATGTAAGCCAATAATTTCAAATCAGTTCAAGTTTTCGTTGATAATGATCAGATATCTCGATCATTATCATCGGACATCATAAATTGAATTGTAGATCTCGCTACTTTATTATTGCTACCAACTTTGCTTCTATAACTTCTTGTTATTTTGCGATAAATACCATCAGCGATATCTCGGTGATCTGACATATTATAATCTACATCTGTTATCTTCTTGAAAAATTATTCTTTGTGTAAAACATCGATCAACTAATTAATTTATATATCGTACACATTAGTGGATTAGTAAAGAAGCGCGGAGAAAGTATTTAGATCTATAATTAAATTAAACTACAGATTATTACTGAATAGAAATAAATAGAGTTATTAATTACGTATAGGTCTGGAAAGGTTATACAACCATGGACGATTATGGTGGTTGGAGGAGTAGTAAAGTTGTCCGACAACAGAACGAATCGACAGGAAAGGGGCGTTGTGACTATCAGGATTCACCCGAAATTTAATCTTAGAACCTTGCACAATGACGTTGCCGTTTTGAAAGTACGATGGTTTTACAAATCAACCGTTATTTGCCGCATTTTCGTGTGACTTCTAGAATAAGCGTAATTCACGTCTGATTTTCGTAGCTATCGCAACCCTTTAAGTTTACTCCGGAAGTTCGTAGTGTGCCCTTGCCAGGGAACGCACCCGTACCCAAGACAGTTTGCCAGGTACCTGGTTGGGGTTATCAATCGTCCGTGAGTATACAGCAAAATATTTTAACCGCAGGAAAATTTGCTTGAATTAGGAAGTCATTACAACACGTTAAAAATATTACAGAATATCCCAATAACGTCTCCCGACTTGCTGTACGTGGATTTACCTATTCGAAGCGTAAACGAATGTCGCAAACTGCTCAAAAACGTAACAGATTTGCCAGCGGGAATGTTTTGTGCTGGTTATCTAGAGGGTGGAAGAGACGCTTGTCAAGTAACGTATTTTCTTATTCATTTACGTATATATTTACGCATGTATTCATGACCAACGTGATTTATATTGCTGATATACAATTTTTTGAATCTTCCAGGGTGATTCCGGCGGCGGGATGGTCTGCAAAGGTGTTCTGACCGGTGTCGTTTCGGGTGGCAAGGGGTGTGCTAAGCCACTGCTGCCAGGGGTGTACGCGGATATTTTTCACTACTTGAATTGGATATTAGATGAGAAAGAAATAGTGGTGATAGTGCAAAGACGTGATTTTGGAAATCACGGCACGTCTAACATGTCGTCCATTACGATCATGATAATCTCCTTTCTCCTTTGTGCTGTTATCAATTACACCTCTAGACCTTGAAGCTGAGATACTCTGTTGACACGTTGATATGTATGTTTGAAGATATTATTGAACAAGAAACAGTTTTTATGGGTGTTATGTGGTAATACCAGAGTTTACGACCGTGTTTGTAATGTCGCGTGACCATATATGTGACTTGGCGAGTGAAATACCTTACCAAATAAATAAAGTTTAAAATTAGTAAGACTGCTTTTATGATTTAAATAGTTGCGTTTGAAGTTTTAAACGAATATCGTGTATCACAATTTATCAAGTTGTAAGTTATTCTCGATTAATTATTTAGTTTGCGAGATTGTTAATGAGATTCACTACATTTTAAACAATTAATTTTAAATAATCACGCGAGAGATATTTAAAATGTTTTATTTCATAATGTAGCTTGAACTTGAATCCATCGATCTTAATTTATTTCACATTTCATTCTTTATTGTTTTGGCTGTGTTCGTTGAAGCACGTTTAAAAATTTTCATGATACTTGAAACGCAATATGATTTAGTAATTGATTTCTGATAAGCCAGTTGCACACAATCCATGAAACTGTCGATATCTCTGACAATAGAATGCAGAGAAAATTAATCTTGCTCGATCTTGCTTCGTTGATCTTATCAGGAAAGATTGTTTTATTTTTTCTCTAAATATACACGTATGAAGGAAATAAATCTTATCGTTCTATTATAGTTGAGATTGTATAAATAAATAAGATAAAGCCGGAGACTTGATTTATTGTAAGCATTTCTTTAATACTATTTTCATTAAAATTCCACCGTTAGGAACCGATGACGAGATAACTCGCATTTTTTATTTATCATTAATCAAGAATAGTTATTATTCAGTAATAAGTGGCAACAGTTAGAAGTTCTTTGGTGATTTGTTATCGTATATGTATATGTAAGATGTGTATAAGTAATAAATTTTTTTAATTATTACTTTGGCTATTCTTAACTTCTCGTCTTTCGTAAACATACGAATATCGTGAAAATTATTTGTCATTAATTTTTTTTTACGGAACATATGTACATTTTATGAAATATAAAAGGGTTAATACAAGAAATAATTTTTCGTTGCCTTTCACGCGAAAGTATACAAAGAAAAAGAAGTGAAAAAGAAGAAAGCCGGAGGAAGGGACAGACGCGCGATGTATCCACTTTGATGTCAAACGGAAAGCAGCACTGGCAGACGCGCAAGAAGCTCATATCTCACTTAATACACGGTGGATGATATCGAGAAATGTATTAGCGGATTGCTCGCTGCCAAGATGGGGAAACGTCCACGGTATATTCGGTAAATCGCGCAGCTCCTTTACCGCGTCTGCTGGTTTCGCTGCACCGGTATTAAATTCTGTGCGAGTCTAGTACCTTCAAAGAAATGTGGGGACTCTTGGCGGCTCTTTTAGATTGGATATAAATTTCGCGCGTTAATATTTGCTGCGTACGAGTCACGAGAGGATTATGGAAATTGAATTGCTCTCGTCTAGCTGAAAGAAAACGTCGATGTAATTATTCGACAAAATTGAATCGTCTTGAAAGGCGTAGGAATTAAATATTAAAATATGCCCTCGTAAAAATTCTAAAAAGTCGCGTTAAAAATAATTTATCGTTCTGAATCTTTAAGCGTCGCTGTTTGCAAAAAGTTACATGACAGATAGATATTTTAAAATGAATAAAATATGAAATATTTGATTTAATAACGGTATTTGATTTTATTTAAGTGTTCTTTGATATTCTGAGCAACCAACAGAGATAGAAAATAGAAAACTAGTTCAAGTTAGATTTGCATTTTATGTAATCGCAAATGCATTTCACATTGCAAAATAAGTTATTTGAAATCTTGTTATTTGAAACGTCCTTGTATAATGGGATCTCGATTCATTTTAATCGAAGCACGATATTGACCTGTGTTTTTACATGAAAGTTTGACTTCTTCCGGCTCGCGCGAACGTAATCTTCCAGGACAGGCTTCCGCTTCCGAAAGTTAATCCACGTGGAAACCCGAGACGCGCTCTTCACCAGGGACTTCAGGGTCGCGTAGGCTCGCGATCGATGCCCGTGAAACGATCGTGGGCGTACGGAGAAGAGATAGGAGAAGAGATACGGAGGAGATGAAAGCAAAGTATAAAATCAGGAGACGGATGAGTCACAAAAGTGGGGAGCGAAGAGGGATAACGGGGAGGATGGAAGCCGTGGGTGAAAACTACCGCGCGTTTTACCTGATAAACGTAACTTCTGATACGTGCGCCCCTCCGGCTTCGGTTTTCTTTTTTTTTTTTTTAAGTTAAGGAGGGCGTTTTTCACGGCCTCTCCGATGCCCCTGCGGCTTTCAGCTCCCTCGACGGCGAATAGGAAGGGGGGAATAGGCATGTTTGTGTGCGCGTCGACAGGGTCCATTCGCGACTTCAGTAATTTCGAGAGATCGAATAAGAATTCATTAGAGGATATACAGGGCCCAAGCTCTCCCGCGCAGGGGAAGATTCTTCGGCTTTCCCTCTCCTTTTTTCTTTACCCCGTCGGGGGTTTTAAATAAATTAAAAGTTTGCGTTTTCTACAGGGGCGAGTAACTTCACCGCGCGCCCAAACGCGACAGCGAGCTAAATTCGAAAGGTGGAGCTTCCGACGATAAAGTTCCCTCTAATTACTCATAGGATTGAAGACGAAGGCGGGAGAGTAAATTTCGGCGAACGTTGGTGGACTATTCAAGAGACGGAGTTGTCCCCAAGCGAGTTGAAATAAAGAAGCGCGTACGTTCGTTGCTTCGACATCGAACTTCGCGTTTCGCGAAGAAAGACGGAGGTGAAGGTGTGCGTGTTCTCCTGACGGAGGCGTTTATTAATGATACGTTCGACAGAACCGTGAGTATTCCGTGGGCGAATTCATTATACTAATTGCACATCCGCGCTCTATCCGACCGCGCGCGTGGGCATTTTCGTTGGAAGTGCAATGACAAAGTTCGTTCGGCGAAAGATATGTTCCTCGCGAAACGCTTAGACGTCATGTAAAATCTATTTCTTGTAGAAATGGATCCCGTATTATTACATGATTCATCAGAATCACCCTGGAGCGTACTGCTTATTCAGACGTTTCTAAAATGCACCGTTACATAAAGAGATTAGCGTTAATATAATTGAGATTACAACATTCCCTTTTTCGGATACAAGTATACTTTAAAAGACTTGTGTGTCTGGCGTTAAACGCAAGCATTAATCAGGATCGGCAATTGTTAGACGCATATGGTAGGATACGGAAGGTCGTAATCAAGAATGATTTTATGACGCATTTAAAGCTGCGACACGGCGGAAGGAACGTCGACCTCCAGGAACGAATCTCGCTTAATGACTCCGTTACGCATTAATGGCCGCTTGGAAACTACTTGAAGACACACGGGGAAGTCGTTTCCCGAAGATGTGACCGGAAATTCCAACACTATCCTCTACAACGAAATAGGCAACGGTTGAATTTGCTCTCCAAGAGACGTACACTGTCGTGGCGTATCCTAATTTTCATAATTATCTCCGTGCTAAAATGGTTCGGAAATAAGTTTTTAAATAATTTAATGGACAATTACTTCCAGTTAATTACGCATAAAATATAAAACTTCTCTTGGCGCATGACGAGAAAACACTTCTTGAAGTGAACTGATTTAAATATTCTACAGCTTAGGTTTAAGAGCAAGGAAACGAGAGAATAATGAGAACGTTCAATATCGCAATTGCTACATTAATTGCGTCTATACCTTTCTCATTTGCGACCTGACTTTCACTTTTGGCGTACCTTCATTACTCAAACGAGATAAATCCTCGCTCGCAGCAACGTCATGCGGCTGATGTCTGTAACCGTCAACTTTACGAAGGAAGATGAAAGAAACGCGTTTAAACGTGTCTCGCCCGCGGTAGCGTTCGCTCGTTTCTCCACATCCGCAGTGGATGCTCGACGTTGACCGACTAATTAATTAAATGTAAACGCGACGAACTGCGTTTTCTCTTTTACATCCGTCTCACAGACGGCTCTATCCTTCTCTACGATTTTCCTCTCGGATTTTCCACCGCTCCGTTTTACCTGTCTGCGTTCTCCTTCCTTCTCTACGATTCCTCGCTCTCTGTATCATTCCTTGTTCTATACGCAAGACCGTCCGTCTCGGCAGGCAGGGCTTCGTGAAATTTCCGAGTCGCTTATTTGCGTTTACCTAAGAGTCGCGTCTTCTTCGACGCGATGCAGACGGCTAATTGGCTGCCTTTCCACGTTAAATGCGAGGTAATAACTGTTCCGCCCATCTTGCAGACAAACATCTGCGACTCGCGTTTCGTCGTTCCAATTACTAGGCTCTTGTGTGACCTCTGAACTGCATAAAAAATTAATGTTTTCATTGCGCGGTAAAAGTTCGCAGTGTATTGAAAAGTAACGAGAAGTGGCTCATAAAACATACATACACACAGCTCTCTATTCACACGAACGGTGGAAGTTAAATTAATTTAGATCGGGCAATCTGTTTCATTTTATTTCTCAGATACTGAGAACGATCTTGTCTTAAATACATGATATATACGTATAGAGATTTTAATTATACTATATATGCATCAGACGCAGACTCCAATTAACTCAACGCGCGTTTTATACATTCCACTTCTGAAAATCTCCAAATCAGACGCAATTTCGCGGAAGTGCTCGATCATCGAATTCTGTCGGTTTCTCGCACGAGGAATAATGAAACGTCTACATTTCAAACGCCGAACAGTAATCCGCGTTTTAATAAAGGGATTATGTGATCGTCCCGTTCCACGAGAACGGATTGCACGGGCCGCACTGTCGTGTCCAAGTAGCGCGCGATATCCCGGCGCAGTTTAATAGTTCCGCCGCGCGGCGAAGTTTCTTGCGCTTTACCGTTAATTTCTTGGCGGCGTTTATTGCGGAAGTTAATGCCCCCCTTACGAAATTCATATTACCGTATCGCGGGGTCTAAGCCGCTCGTTTCCTCCTCTCGCACCTCCGTTATCTTCTTCCGCCGCTGCCGCGCGAAACGGCGATCGGGTGACGGGGGTCATATTAAGAACTTTCCCGCTCCCGCGGTCGAAATCGTAGAAAATGGATGAGACCTAGTTATCGTTATTTTCCCTGATGTTTCTCGCTTTTCGTAAAATCTGATGGTGATGGAAAACGGAGGGGATACGCCGTGAGGCAAAACGATTTTGTCACGCTGCTTTCTGCTTGATTGCGACGCTGTGATAAATATAGCGTATCGACGACGACGCTCGAGGCAGATGCGCGACAAATTAAAATTATTATTCCCCATTGTAGAATTAGACACGGCTTTTAGGTTGAAGACTGATCGACATTATTTATATGTTTTGTAAATTATTTTATGCAATATAGATGGACGCAGTTAAAATCGTCGAGTGACTTCAATACCTACTCACGAGAAGGGTTTACTTCGATTGTTCTCGAGTCACCTCGGGCAATTCGTTCGTTATCTATTGCGAATGAAATTATATGCCTGAGTTGCACGACTTTTTTTTATGATGCACTTTAGATTAGGAGTTAAACGCTGTGCGATCGTAAAGATAGGATTTCTTCAGAAAATTAGATTTGCGATCTTCCCGATATTCTGCGCGAAATTCGATAACTGGTTTCACAGCTTACTTCCAACTTGGGTTCCCCACCTCTCACGTCTCCTCTCATTCTCCGCTCTTCTCTGACCGTCCCCGTCCTTTACCTTCAGCGAA